TGGTCCACTGCTCTGAGGTCACATGTTGACCTGCTGGTCTGGTCCAGTGCTCTAAGGTCACATGTTGACCTGCTGGTCTGGCCCACTGCTCTGAGGTCACTTGCTGACCTGCTGGTCTGGTCCACTGCTCTGAGGTCACATGTTGACCTGCTAGTCTGATCCACTGCTCTGAGGTCACATGTTGACCTGCTAGTCTGATCCACTGCTCTGAGGTCACATGTTGAAATTTGAGAAACTGATTCTTTCTATCCAGGCAAGAAGCTGAACGGGCTGCACACCACCTCTCTGAACACACCAGCCAGTAACTTCTGTCAACTACTCCAGGAGATAGCAGAGGAACAGTGCTTTGAGGTCACCTATGTTGACCTGCAGGAGCTCAGTAACAAAGGTAGGTCACTTTATGTTGTCCTGCAGGAACTGGGTCATAAATGTAGGTCACATCGTTCAGCTGAGAAGCAGTGCTTTGAGGTCACCTGTTGACCTGCTGGAGCTCAGTAACAAAGGTAGGTCACTTTATGTTGACCTGTAGGAACTCAGTCATAAAGGTAGGTCACATCATTCAGCTGAGAAGCAGTACTTTGAGGTCACATGTTGACTTGCTGGAGCTCAGTAATAAAGGTCACTTCCTGGTTGAGAAAATATGATTATCTCTCTCTCTCTCTCTCTCTTCTCTAGGTAATCACCAGTGTTTTCTCTATTTCCAGGCAATCGTCAGTGTTTGGTGCAGCTGTCCACCATGCCAGTCGCTGTGTGTCACGGCAGCGGACCCACATCTGATGAATGCCATGCTAACGCAGCCCACAATGCATTGCAGTATCTGAAGATCATGACCAAGAAGGCGTAGTGAGGGGGCTTCGATAATCGTGTCACAAAAATGGTAGACTTTGGTCTTTAAATAAAGCTGGAAGATGTCCTGATATCTAGAGTTTAGCATGAATCTAGCATGGATTTTTATTCCTGGGATGATGTGTAAATCTAGGTCAGGGTCAGGTAATGGCTGGATCAAGGTCAGGTCATATCTGGGTCAAGGCCAGGCCATGTTCAAGGTCAAAGTTCAATTTCTACCCTATAGGTGACATTGTTATTGAAGCAGGCTTGGTGGGCTGAGGAAACTGCTATGTACAACGCTTTTCATTCTGCTTTGTACATCATTTTTCTCATATTTTTTTTATTAACTTTATTTGAATGATTGTGACTATATATTAGTATTTTGTTGTTATATATGAATGTATAGAGGTTGAAAAAGAGACTCTTACAGCTTTTAAAACTGCAAGTGTAGTGAAATTGCATAAGTCAATGTTATTAACTGTTGTTGCATGTTTTCAGTTTTTAATTTTTTCTCCCAAATGCAATTGCACCTTGCTCGTAGATACAAGCCTGCGTTTGTTCAAGTATCATGGTGCTTTATAAGGCAATTATGCCCTTTTTAGATAAATAAGAACGGGAACTAGAATTAAGTTGTCAGTTCACCTTGAGAAAAAGGTCTGTTCAGTTTTACTGTCTCCCTTTAAGCTGTTGTAATAATAATCATGTAGTTATTAGTAGTAATAAGTGAGTTGTGTGTTTGAGGCAGTGAAGTGTTTATCTGTCCCTGGGGCTCAGGATGGTCACATACTCTGTGCTGAAATATGAATTTTAAGTGAAATAAATTATGTAGGTAATTACATTGTTGAAATGTTTATAACAGAGTCTGAATGTAGAGAGCCAAAATTGATAAGATGTGTATAATGGAATAATCAAAATTTACATCATGGCAGTGCAAACTTTAAATGTTGAACTTTTTATTTAACGATGTCCATTGAATGTGCGGTTTTGGTGAACTAGACCAATCTTGTTGACATTGAACATAGAAAGGCACACTTCATGTTTGTTCTGATGTGCACAGTGTGCTGAAGGTTAGGTAGGACAGTCACACTTGTAATTGAATTTCACAGCTAGGCTATACATCCAAGGCTTATCTTTATGTACTCTAGGAATGCTGTCCAGAATGGTTGGGAACATTGCCTCTTTCCACTAGGATATGTTTCACAGTCAGTAGAGTTTTAGTTGGTTTATACAGTGGAATTTGGGCAGAACCACAGTTTTGTTTATTTTATCTGTGAGGACATTTCAGACTTTCACTAAAATAAACTTGATATTATTCTTCGGGTTAATTTCCCATACTGGATAATTTGATGATATTAGCATGCCTGCTTGGGCTCCATAACTTGAAAGCATCACGAATTGTGAATAGCTATATCACCCTTCATTTCGAGGCTATTATATGGGGCGAGAATATGGCGAGTTATATAATCAAAGCACTTGTGCTTGGACGCAATGCACGATGCTTTCAAGTTACAGGGCAAAGTGTGAGTAGATCAGCTGCTAAGACTAGGGTGCCAGGAGCTGAAAGTTGCTGTAGATGCATGTGATATGTAGTGTGATGTGATAAATGTGCTTAGTTTTGTATATACACAGGGACTTTTGTCAAGCAGCCTATGTCATATTTTTTGTATATATAAAGTCCTCACTTTTTTCATGCAGATGTATTTTTTTTTTATTTCCCACTCATTTGGAGCTTTTTTGTATTCAGTTTAAAGGAAGCAAATATGCTTTTCGAAAATGTTTCAAAAGTTTTGTGTTCTGTAGAGACTAGCCATTTCCATCTTAGTTTACTATTTAACAAAATGCTTTGTGACCTGTAACTGCGTCTGTATTGGGCATCCTATGTGGAAAACAGCAGAAATATTGTGTATAGCAGTTGTTATGGGCAATAAATACAGAATTGAGAAGGAAAGTTTATATAATTTTCTTTTGATAGTTTTGCCGATTTAGTAAGTAAATGGAATTGAGTTGATATTGTTGGGACCTTCTACAATTTTCAAGCAGTAAGGCTATTATACAAATAGTCTCAAATGTAAGAAAAAAACTAAAGTTAGTCTATCAATTTTTACTGGGAGTTATTTTTATGCGTGGAGCAAAACATGAATAATTTGTACAAATGGGCAGTGATGCACTTTATTATGCTTGGAAAAGAGAGAAGGCGAAATCTTGAGGAACAATAAAATATAAGATATTTTCTTTCACACTTATTTTTACTTGGGAGGATTGAAATGGACACTGTGGCTTTATTGGAAACAAGATATTCCTGCCACAATTTGCTGTGATGTCAACATGATCATATCTCGCTATGATTTGCCACTGCTGTGATTAAGGTCAAAAAGAGACCAATAGGAGCACCATAGGTTTTTGAAGCTTTTTTAAATTTTATTAAAGAATAAATATCTGAATACAATACTGAATTATAGGCAACTGAAGGGGAAAAAAGAAATCATTGAAATTGTCACAAATTCTTGAATAAGTATTATCAGCAGGCGATGTCGGACTCAGTGACAACAGAACTGCCTTGTTGGTTCCAAAATCAAAAAGTTACTCTGTTCAATTTTCATTCCGATACTTGTAACGAATTATCAGCCTAAACAACATTCTTTCACGTGTATCTCCCTTACTTTTCATTGAGAAACTCTGGAAGATAACTTTCACACACACCTAATACCCCCGTCACACTTAATTGGAATCAGCAGGAATCAAGAAGAATGAGGCTGAATGAAGAATTTAAAAAATCCGCACCACATTCGGGAAAAATTTTTGAATTGACCTTAATTATTGTAAGAGTACCGTTGGAATACTCAGAATGCACTTGAATTCGCCTGGAATGATGAGTGCATTTTCGACTGTGTAGCTCTCAAATGCAGTTCGAATGTAGTTGGAAAACTAGGAATATCTATAGTGCTGTCAGAAGGCAGTAAGAATATTTAGAATATACTTTGGATGGCCTACTAGTGTAGTTCTATTGCTTGCAAAATTAATATTTCACCTCATCCGAGGCACATTCGAAACATTCTGGCGGGATTTTATACCCTCGTCACACTAGAGGCGGAATGATTAAGAATGGCATCGAAAATACAATTCTTTGTGCATTCCAGGTTATTCAAAGAGCATTCTAAAAATTCGGAGTGCATTCCAAATATTTTTACCCATTCTGGTAGCCGGCTCAAATGTTTTTGTCATGTCAAAAACTTTCAAAGTGCATTCCAAGTGGACAATTATCGAATGGCATTTGAACAGTATTCTAACTGCACTATGACTGCATTATATATATATCAATTTCACATTAATTGTCAATCACAGTATAAATTAATGTTTAGTTTTTCATTTGTTACTGTTATCTAAAAAAAAGTACTCTTTTTGGGGGCATAAGAAAAAAAAATAACGTTTTTTTTCACATTTGCATTGGTTGTTTCTCCTTGACTTTGCCAATTCCCCAGCTTCACATATTTAACAATATAAACAGTATTAATTTGGTAATATCAATAATAATGAAAGAAACAGGGCAATATGCATCCCAAAATTTCCATGTACCAACCATGTTTTCAGCAAGAGTATCAAAAAATTATAAAAATTAAACATAAATTTATATATACATATAAGTAAAAATACATGCAAAGATTTGTGAGTATAAAAAATGCTTGTTATAAAATTAATAAGCTCATTAAGTTCTATTTTAGCTGAATAATAAATTTATAATTAATTACAGTTATAAATGTTGTTTAATAGTGTAACAAACAATATCTAGAAAGTTGCAAAAAATACCAAAATTTTACTAAATGCAACAAAAATTAGGCACAATGAAACAAGTGCAGAAAAAGCAAGCATTTGAGTAAACCATCCCCCTTTTGTTTATTTACATGTTTTATTTACTCATAGAAAATAATGTAGTCCCTTTTGGCTGCCTCTGCCACTTTATCAAGTCTTAAACATATTTGTGAATCATGGGCTAAAAATTGTGTAAAATTGTGTTCAAATAATTTTAGTTTAGGAATAGATATGTGAGATTTTTTCCTAAAACAATGAGTTTCCTAAAATGTCAGAATAATTTTGAAGGTCAAAAAAATTATTCAAGACTGCTAAATTTACTGGAAATAATATGTTGGTATCATTTCCTTGCATACATGCAGATAAATCTAACAAAATATTTTGAATGCTACAATTGCATGGTATCTTCATTATACAAAATTTACACCCTTTTGATAGAATCGTTTTGTTTGAACATTTCATTGTGATATTATTCTTGTTGATAACTATAATATTTGATTTGAGTGAATGGGTATTATGATTGGTTTTACTTGGTTTGGTAACATACTGAAATTACACATCTCATTAATTTGCCTTCTGTCATTGTTCATCAGAGCTATTACACAATGTAATTCTGAGTTAATTTTTATATTTGCAAAATGACAATTTTGTTTAATCCCAAGAAAGCTACCTGGAAGATTTCACTACCATATCAAACTTTTTGTAGCAAAAATAAGTGTAATTCTAATTAATATGTTTTTCAACTTATGAACACCAGCAATATATACAAGGGCAATTTGAATGACACAACTGTGCATGCAAATATTAAGATTATAAATAATAAAATCAATTATTGAAATCTGCCAGGACGGTGAGCAATGATGGACACGTGAAACAAGAACACAAAACGAGTTCTCAAAATCACTACAGCAATCAAAAATCTGAACAATACCTGCTACAAAAATGTTGACCTAATGTCTGTTTTGAGATTGAATCCACTATCAAATGTACATGTCTTATGTCTGTGTAGTTTAGCAGTTCAGTATTACCCAAGCTTAAGACTCTCCGCTAAGTCTTTACGTCTGGCCCTTGCCAACGCTTTCTTCAACTTGTCTCGACGCTCCTCATTGCTACAAGCCCCCATTCCTTCTCTCCACTGAAACAGCATATTGCGAATCTGACCAAGTGCGTCACTGGGGAAGTTGAGTTTGAGATGATCTATCTGAGGTCTCTCCACTCCAAGATAGGCAGCTACTTCCTCCCACTCAAATCCAATATTTCTTGCTAAGTCGCACATCAAGTCATCAGGTGGATAGACAGCTATAAAAATGAAACAATAGAAACCATAACGCAATCGTCAATATATAACAAGTAACACATGTATTAAATGTAAAAGTGAATATTTATCAACAAAACCTGTTTCCTGGCATACTTAAATAATATTTGTCATTTTGTATTTGGATTTTATGTGTTTACATTCGCTTATTATCTAATGCAAAAGTGTCTCATTTATAATGCTTTTTATACAATATTTTTAATAATTATGACTTTAACTGCACGTGCCTTATTCAAAATAAAATAAGTACAAATACATGTCGAAGTGTGCAAATCCGCTTAGCTTTGTTAAAACACTGAATGTCTAGTGTTACTTAGTAATACCCGAATCTTGATACATATGTGTATATTTACTTTAAGTTATAAGAAAATGAAGGGACAATACCTGCGCAGATTAACCTACCGATTCTGGCTGATGGACAAAAGGTATTTTCATTTTTCCTGAGCCACTTCCTGTACGGGGCGGTTTCAATAACTTCTCGGCAGCCAGGTGGACAAACGTCGTCACTCTCCAACACCTCTGTCTTCAGATCTTCTGTCAGTTTCTCCAGGCCGTGTGGGAAGCGGAACCCAATGTTGTACTTCAGGTAAGGGAAGTAGGCTCCAATAAGTCGGTCTAGCTCCTGCCTGATATAGCTAAGTACCTGGAATGCACTGTCGCCCTCCAAGACGTTGACACTTCTTTTCAACGAGCCAACCATGATTTTGAATGTGCCGTCTCCTTCATTACATAACTCGAATATTGTGTGAATTGAGCGGTCCACCTTGAAGCATGCATAGTCGCAGTATGGATTTTGGTCGTGAGAGGACCACTTCCTGTAGCAGCAGACCACCAGGCAATGAAAGAGACCAGGGGGACAGAATCCGCCGTCAAACATCAAATATAATGGAGGAATTTTCTGCATTTTCAAATAACCGTCTGGATTGGGTTGGTTTTTTCAGCACACAAGGTACTAAATATTTCTTCCATTTTTCGTTGGCTTGTTCCTCCGGTAGTTCAACTAGCAAGTCAAAGCGTTGACAAATGCGAAGAAGAATCTGTTTATTTCCCTTCAGCTCGGCGTCTTGTTCCCACACACTGTCAATCAGTCGTTCATCTAGTTCTCCTCTATCATCCAGCATCTTCCAATAACCCCTGACTTCTGGTTTAGAAACTTTATGGTACTTCTCTACAGTTATTAAGGATGCAAAGGCATCGATCAGCCATTGTGGATCTAATATGACAATTTCACTAATGCCAACTTCATTGAAGAAAACAAGTTCTCCCAACTCGCTATAGAATCCCAAAAAGAATAAAACATTTTCGGCAACATCGAAACCATAGCGCTTTCCCTCCTGGAACACATCCTCTAGGCTCAGACATTTCCGAGATGTGCTCATCTCCTTTAGTCTTTTTTCCAGATGTACATACCTCAATGGCTGCTCTTCTCCCCAGTGTGGCTGTGCATGGATTGTTTCCCAAATTCCCCCTTTTAACTCCTTGATCCCGGCGTCCTGCTGGTCACAGTTATTCACAGCGTAGAAGTACGGCTGCACGTGCATGTCATGCGCTGGTCTGCCGTCCAGGAATTCTTGAATTTTACGAAATTTCTCCTTTGTCAGCTTCACCCTTTCCTGTAGAATTGATTTAAACATCATAGAAATAAAAACATTAAATCAATGTTTTCTCTTTTGTTTGTAATGAGTGTGGATAGAAATGTTTAAAAGCGTTTCGTACAGAACATGTAAGCATGGCCTACCTAATTACAATGGCGACTTAAAATATCAAAAATGTTCTATTTAGAATTTTCATGACCAAATCTAATTTTTCTCACAAAAAATTAAACTTTCTCGACCTTTCCCTCAACAAGGATTTGATTCGATCGTCTTTTGTTTATTTATTTATTTATTTATTTATTATCATTAATATTATTATTTTTATTATTATTATTTAAATAAATAAAATAATGTTGTTCCATATGTATATAAATCCAGAGTAATTCAGATCAGTTTGATTTCCAGTTTTTGGTAGTACAGTGTGTATGCTTGTGGGACATCATGTATAAATATGTATGTTTTCAGTATAAAATGTGAATAGTAACATTGTATATCACCTTGAACTTCGCGGCTTTATTTGTCGATTTCGTTTAAAGGAAAGAAATCTATTTAAAAATGCCCAGGCCCGATTTTGACCTCCTACCTCTTCAGTTTTCCCTAGTTGATCTCTATGTGTCCCCACTAATAGGATTCTGGGACAAATATCCACCAATCCAGGGTCTTTTCTTTTTACTATTTCAGTGTGAGTATGGATGGAATTCTGCCAGAATTTTAAAAAATCTGAAAATAAGTTTCCACACATTATTTGTTAATACGTAATGTGGTTTCTTTGCCATAGCTAATTTCATGGCGTGAAAATGGTACAATTGTAAATGTATATGGAACATTACAAGTTAAACTTCCAATGTAATTGAATAATGGTGGGTACATGAACAATAATCACATGTAGTCAAAACAAGTCTGAAAAGATTCTGATTAAAAGAGAAAGGTGACCAATTAATTTAAAAATGTTAAAGACAACTGAACGCACCACCAACAGTGTCTGGGACGCTATCCACTGGTTTTGGTCCAGTTCTGCCCACTCGCTCCACATAGACAGGGTCATTTAACTCCTTGGTGAGGTCAAACACCAGTAAGTAGACAGCTCGCCATGTGAGGAAAGTTTGATGTGTCGTGTAGAAGACATACTGACCGCCAAAGTCCCAGAGAGTCAGTAAATCTGGAACATCTGGTTGGCCTTGGCTTTTTTCAAGAACCTGCTTCACAGTCACTTCATCTCCATCTATAATGTTTTTCCGTACAGTAGTCTTGTTTGTTTTCCCTAAAAGATAAAAAAAATTACTCTGCTGTGCGATACTTTCTTGCACCTACACCGAAATAGAGGAGTGACATGTACCAAATTTAAATTGCCGATTGTAAACCGTATTTGTTAAAAAAAGTTTTGTATAGAAATATTTGGTAGTTTGTAAGTTTTCTTCATATGGAGGTGATGACCTCAAATATTATATTCCGACGTCTGTCTAGAGCAGCTTCATCAATGTATGACTGATATTTAATATTTGTAATATTACTTGACTGTATAATGTTCACCTTTCATCATAACGACTGCTTATATATATATATATATATATATATATATATATATTTTAACTATTGATTCACTTTTTAAAGAAAATTATAAAAAACAATATTATCTATTATCACAACATTTACTTACTGGTTTCTCTGTATTCCTTGAAGCCCCTGGCCAGTGCCTCAATGCAGTAATTTGCACTGGACTCTACACAACGGGAAATATTGGGAAATGTAAACAGATAATACGCTTTGTCAAAGTAAATGCATTAAAAAATCAAAGTTTTATTTCCTATATTAGTTCTTAGTATGAGAGACAGAAAAAAACAAACAATATACTGTATATATATATTATAGTCTTTAACAATCTTATAAAGTTGGTGTTATAATAGACGTGAAGAGGTGTTTGTCACCTTTTCTCTGCCATGATGTCCCTGCAGTGTGTTTCTCCAGAATACACCCAGATACCTCAATACCATTCGTCACCGGGTCGTCCTCAGTGAACTCTTCCCCCAGCAGATTTCGGCAAAGGTGTGTTTTCCCAATACCTCCCTGACCAACCACTATCACATTGGCTCTGTACACTCTCTGTGTTCCCTCCGCACACGCTGCCTGATATATGTCTTAATATGTGATAAAAAAAAATAGAAGCCTATAGTAAGCTGATATGATTAGTATCTCACGTAGCCAGATTACGGCAATTCTGCACATGTATGATACCCGTGAACAAGTTGAAATTATGGATTCGTTATCTAAAACTGTTACACAAGTAGTCGTATAAAACTGTTACACAAGTAGTCGTATAAAGCTGATACACAAATAGTCGCAGAATATGTAAAATGTAGTCGCTTATATAAAATATTGTTGAAGATTGGAAGTTAAGAAAATTGGCTAAAATGACCCAAAAAAACACAATGTTGACCAAAAGCATACACACTTACATATTTGTTTCAACTCTACTTCTATTTAACATTTTAAAGGTTAATTCTATACCTTCTACTGTTCCTGATTTGTTCTACATACTTACCCAAAGTTGCTGAAAGAGAAAGATATTGAGGATGAATATAGGTGTATAATTGATTAAGATTTTTAAAAAATATTTACGGAAATATGCAATATTATAGACTGAACAAAACGGTTTCCAATTTACAATGTTCACCCGCAGCGTACACAATTCTGTAATGAAAGCTATCTGGCTACAATTGAGGTCGACTTTGTTTACTTTCATTTTAATGTGATTTTTTCAATACTTACCAATCTCTTCCGCTGAAAAATATAATGTATACAAAATAAATGTATTATCAATTTAAATGCCACGTAATGTAAGCTTTCCGCCTACTTTTATCGAGGTATGAGGTTTACTGTCTCTAAATATCTAGGATGTACGAGCATATAACTAGTGAAATTAACTGATATTTACCAACCAATATTTCGTCTTCTGGACTTACAGTACACTTTACCTATTCGTGTCTTGGTATATACACACACTGGACAATACAGGTGTCACCCCTACAGAACCAGTACTTAGGGGGGATAAATGACTGTGGAATGATATGCTCCTGGTATCAATTTATTAACATCAAATTTCACAAAAAGACATACAAAACAATTCCATTGTACAGCGGTTTTATACTCATTATAAGTAGACCAGGTTTTATAACTTTGATTACTCTGATTCAGGGGGTGACGATTCTATTGTCCGGTGTGTGTATATTGTGTTACACAGGCAAACGCGTTTCCAACACTCCACTTACCTATTACTGTATCCAGGTCTTCACCACCTACAGAATACGACAAAATGAAGTATTAAGGTTTTCAATAACATGTTCTATTCTACAAATACCTAATGTTTACATTACTGAAATACCTTGCGATTTTATATAGTACCCTGCACCAGCCCCACTCTAGATAAATTATCATTCCAGAATCAAAATGTTATACTTTTATAGAGTACCCAAAGTTAAGTCCCAAATCACAATGTTTTCTTAAAGTGTACACGAGTGTCATTTTGTTATGAGAGCACTCTAGTTTTACATTACAACAAAGATAGGTCATTTATTAGTTCGACTCATACGGGGTTATCAAAAGGACATCGCTTTCAGAAAAAAGATAATGCACAAAACTTACCAAAATCAGTAATATTTCTTAGGGGGTCAATCCGACCATCTGGGACTTCTGTCATTTTTCCATCTCACTTTCCTCTCGTTGTGACTCAGAATATGACTGAACTTGTAGAGGAGAACGAATGGAGTGGACGTACGTCTCACTTTATATTATGATACTATAAAATGAGAAGATCTAAAGGCGACGAAAGAGTATTTAAACGATGCCATTAAAACAGAGTTTGTTAGAATCATTTGATATCGATATACATGTAAACTTCATACTAAAACGTAAGTATACCTGTTTTAATCCTGTTACAACCCAGACTTCTACTGATAATTTTATACGACCGCCATTGCTCTCAGGTAAACACACAAATTCTCCTGCTCGGTGTGTACTGGTATATGCTAGTGTACTGCTCTATTGTGTACTGGTATATGCTAGTGTACTGCTCTATTGTGTACTGGTATATGCTAGTGTACTGCTGTATTGTTTAGGCCACAATGGTCAACGTCACGTATACATTTTATATTTTCATTGTAATATTTCCAGGTTAATACCCAGCCGCAGCCGTTATGTTAAAATTGATTGCCCATTGAAACCACGAGGCGTATTGTGTTTTTATATTATTGATATCGTCTGTTGTGGATTACGTATATGTCTAAAGCCTCGGTCACAACCGCACGCACGAATTTCAGAATAGTACGTCCCCTGCGATTTTTGGGTGTTGCGGAGGCCGTGGAAGTCGTAGAGGGACGCTAATTGCAATGAGCGATGGCCGTGGAAATTGTACTCATTTCTTGAGTTTGTCTTGCTTCCTGTGTACGTGGCACACACTCACCACTTACGAAGGGAATGCAACGCACGGCGAAAGTAGTGCCCTTTTGCGTCAGTTTTGCTTCCCACTTGCTTCACACGTTTGTGGTGACGTACTGATGGCGTAAGTCAATTTTGCTTCCTGTTCTCCTCTTCTTTCTCCTCCCTTTTTTTTTACTATCTAAGCTTCTTTCTCTTGCCTTTTTTGGAGGCATATAAAAAACTAAATTGAGCAAAGATTTGAAAATTTTGAAAATTGCTGTAAACATTACACAGTCAATGTTCATTGTAAAGACACGAGCGTGCGTCGCGAGCACGCCTGTTATACACCAGACGTGGGGGTGACGCACGTGCGACACATTCCCGGTGTGCTCTCGCCTTTGTTCGGTAGTTGTTAGGGCGTGCGCCTTACTCAACAAGCAGAGGGCACCTGCTACTTACTTGCTTGCGACGTGTCTCTTGCACAGCGCGCGTCTCTCTTGCTTACTCCGTGCGAGGGGAGCAAGTTACTCTTGCGGCCTTGCTGTTCGCAGGCTATTCGTAGAATCTTTTGGGCATGTCCAACAGCCTCAGTACGTGCTTACGGGCTGTCTGGGAACTCGAAATTTCGTAAGAAGGACTTGCGTGGGACGTGAGATTCTGCGCAAAATTTGGACGCAAACAGCCCGCAAGAGCCCGTGCTGTCGGTTGTGACCGAAGCTTTAGTAAAGGAGCCGGTGTGACAGGAATGATAGTCTGCTAGGAAGCGTCAATCATTCACTAATACTTTGTACATACATTAACCCCGATAATCCGACTAACCCTAGCCTGTACTAATCATAGGGGACCCCAGACTTCTCATTCCTGGGACTATATTTCATGTCACACCGAAATAATAACGAAACAAATATAAATGCACAATCATTACCTTAGCGTAGTTAGTATACGGGTATTCTATAATAAAGTTGATGTGTGCACGTTATCATAGCATTTCAGCCTTATTTCATTGTTTGTAATATGTGGGTGTATACAGGTGCCTGTGTGACTGATCCTTCGCCTTGTTTGTTCTGCGTCTATTTCTCTGTTAAATCACTGTTATAATGCACTAAATCCCAATTCAACGTCACATATATTTACAAAGTCTGGTAGCGGGTGTTGACTCCATAAATGTTAATACCGGTGCGCAGGGACGTAAAAATACGGCGTTAGGTGTTTGTTTCCTGAATCCGTCCCCCCCCCAAAAAAAAAAAATAATAATAAGAAAATAAAAAAACACAGACAACGTCCCCTGCAAACACACACCCCGTCTCCAAATACACACTGCACCCCTCCCCCGCACACACATCCCCTCCCATACTCCATCACAGCTTTAAGAGAGAGAATTTATTGAAATAATTTATGTTTGAATATGTAACTATGTATAAATATGCACTCGTCTTGAGTTGTCTTGTCTTGTGACTTGCTGTGATTCTGACGCCCCCTAATTGGTGTTTTGTCTATGTTCCTTTGTCTATGTTCCTTTGTTCTGTCTTCCCGCGTCTTTGTCATGTGACGTCTCGTTATAATGGCGTTGGCGCCGGATTTTCAAACAGTGCTGGAGTTGCTGTTCGTCTGTCTGTATGTGGTAAGTTGGGGATAGTCTAGTAAATTCTAGTTCAGTTTAGTATCTGCTATTCTATCTTGTCTTTTACGTGCCCAACTCTATTGCATTATGCTATACTACAGCATTTTCTATTATCTAGTTTTCAGACCGAGCCACCTATTGGTGTAACCAGCACTCTTTCTAAAACACCCTTGAATAACATCAGGGTAAGCCGTTATAAGCCTTAGTAATCTGTATCAAATGTATTATTTCTTTATCAAAGAGTTAAACATAGAACTATAGAAATATAAGTGTTTAACAGTTACAGGAAATACATATTTATTACTTGTTGTATGTCATTTTATCTAATTATATGTCACCGTTCATTACAGGGTGAAAATTTTAGTTATACCAATAACTATATTTTAAACCACAAGAGAGTCCGTCTGTTACAAATACAGTCGGTAAGCATTTGAAATTGAAGGGGTACAAAAATAGAAGTCACTGAAATAATTAAAGAATCTTGAATATTAACATTTCATTTGCATATCAAACAAAACATTTAGTCTGATATATGTTATACATTAATTACCTCCAGGGAATCCTTTGAGCAAGATATACAAAGCACAAAAGCAATTTGTATGACACAACTGTACCTTCAAGTATCAAGACTTTAAATAATAAGACCAATAATTGAGATATGCCAGTGTGGCGAGAAATGATGAACAAGAACACAAAGACATGTTTTCAAAATCACTACAGCAAGTTAATAGATGAACAACGAAAAACATGCTACAAAAAACATCAACGAGTATACAACACCAAACATTACAAATACAAATTAGGTTACATTACACTTATCTTTGTGGAGAACTTATGTCAGCTTTTTAGGCTAAATTTACAAGTATGCATTAAATCTTGAGAATGGGCACCACCACAAATTCAAATATTCCAATAAAATGATAGTCACAAATTCAAGAACACCAAGACGTGTTTACTAAATCACTATAGCTATGACAAGCAAGTCAGTGAACGTAACACAAGCTACAAAAGCAGCAATGACAATAAAATATCAAATAGTGAGGTTAATTTGTCTATATAAATACATTTTAACATTAAACATAATATAAAATAACCACAGATCAGAGAAACAATATAGTATAACCATAATTCATATGCAAAATAATAACTAGGTTCACATTATATGCCTAATATAGTTTTGATTTAAGCAAGCCTTCGTATATTCCATACTGCTTAGTATTTTAGGTTTTAATTCACCACAAAAAATACACATTAAGAAGCGTTACACTTATGCATAATAAAAATACTTTGTGGAGAACCAAACGTTTAGACAAAACACAAGTATTCACAAAAAATTGAAATTGTGCACCACCACAATTCAAGCATTCCTCTAGAACAAACGACATCTGAACATTAATGAATTCAATGTATAGAAAGTCCACACCATATCTGCCTGCCTGCCTGCCTTAAAACGAGTTTTTCACATAAGTTTTGGACATTAATATATCTAAATTTCTTTAAGCAATGACATGTATATGATTATAAGGGATAAGCCATATGTAATGAAATTCATCGTAGTCATTGTTTTATTTTTACAGTTGAAACTCCCTTGGATAAAGCAGTTATTAAAATGATAATGTGTTTTGAAATTGAAAAGTTCTCCCCTGCTAAAAACGTGTCACCTCCACCACATTTTTGTACACTGGTACAATGTTATAATTAGATGTAGATTTAATTTTTGACGTAATGGATCACCGTGTAGATATGGGAGGTGAGTACTAACTTGACAATTACATTGTTCAAATAGTTCTTACATTTTGATGTTCCTTATTGCTAAAACTGACCGTATTTTTACAGGGGTTGGGAGTCGACCTTTATCATTGCCAGCAGACTGGATTGTCCTATGAGAACTATTCAGAGGTACTTTACACAATGTCATTAATAAACAGACACATGGACAAGACTACCTGCGTCGTGTCAATTGGTAGAAAACACCTACATTCTGTTGTTAAGAAACTTGTCAGTAACAATTACACTTAAACAACCGTCATTATTTGGCTAAAAGGACCGTAAGAAGAACAGTGCTCACCAACAAGGGTCATCTTTGCTGAGTTAGATTGTGTATCAGAACTGTGTCACTGACATCAGGTCAGTGCCATGATACTGTTCTCAGATGTTGCAATGATATTTTTATCGGATGAGAGCAGTTTCAACGTTGACAGACCTCTAAAACTTTGGAGACAGCAATAATGATATATCTATTTATATTTATTTAATTGCCTATCTATGGACGACGCCATCGTTCACCCCCCCCCCAACACACACACACACACACACACACACACACACACACACACACACACGTGTACGGTGCGTTACCTAGTTCAGAGGAGCCGGTACAAAATAATGCCAGACTTTGATTATTATTTTCGTTTTAATTTGGTAGGTTAATTCGTTATTGTAGATAAACAGCAATTAAAAAATCTTTCTAGGATTTAGATTTAAAATTTTTAGTTAATTGCTTTTTCCTTGGCCATTTTACTCATCTTAACCGAAATGACACTTTTCTGGGGTGTCTTTTTTCTCTCCATCATATATGAGCGTCTGTACAGATATTTAATCTCCTAATATTCTAAGTATGTGGTTTTTAAAACCCCAACCTTAAATATATCATAATAAAA